GGCTGGTGTCTCCTCACTATTGATCTTCACGTTCTGTAGACAATGCGTGTGATAAGAACAATTTTCCTTGGCCATTCCTGCTCCCAGGGCACCCAGCCAGCCTCTGTCTGTCCAAGGGCCTTGTTTGGGAGGCTGGTGGGATTTGTACCTCTGCTAAACTGAGAAGTAGGTGTGGATTGGGGTTTTTAGGGAGGGGAGGTATCTAATTCCTTTAACAGGCTGGCTTCCTGGGCTGGCAGGAAAAAAACCGTGAAAGTGTGAGGTGGAAGCCCCGCCTCTGCTGGGGACAGGCGTCACAGCTGTCTGACCCCGGGTGAAAAGTTCAAATCTGCATTTAAAAGGAGTGCCACAACCCACCCCCCTTCCCCCCAGTCAAGTTGAAACTGTTCTCGTTGTAGAGGATGCGATCAGGCCTTGCACCCGGACATCAAACAGCTCTAGTTCACTTGGGCCAAGACCCGATGGTGCTGGGGAGCTTTGGGAAGGAAGGAGAGGGAGTGGGAACTCTTTTAATAAGGAGTTCTTGAATAACAATAGTTGTTGAGGACTAACTCCTGGAAGTGCCTAGGGGTGGGTGTGGATTTCTTCCTCAGTCAGACCCTGGGCTGAATTTAACCCCTTTCCTTACTGTTCTAGGAGAGGATCTCTAAGGTCATTATGGGTTGTGCAGAAGTGCTATCATGGCTAGAAGCCCCTGAGTAGGCAGGGCAGGGTGGTATCTGGTGGCATTCAGGCCTAGAGGCATGCTTCTCTGTGTTGGGCTTGTGGTTTAGAATGCATGCACGGGCGGGGGCCCCTGAGAAGCCCTCCAGCCCCTCCTCGGTACCCTGCTGCTGGCCCCAGAGAGGACTGGAGTTTTCTTTGGCTCCAGTGGATAAGAATGAAGATCCCCCCCCAATCCCCCACCCCCGGCGCTGGAGTCAAGGAGGTCCTGTGAGGGGCAACGGAGTGAGTGGAGAAAGAGAGCACAGCTTGTGTGTCCCACACTGAAAAGTGACTGTCCCCTTTCTTCACCCTGCAGTACCTTTACCCCGAAAGGGCTGTCACAGCCCTGCCCCAGCCCTGCCCGGAAACCCCTCAGTGCTAGCTCTGATTTGTTTACTTGAGCATTAGGTGAATGTAAACAGTTCATCCTCTCCGATTTTACATCCCTAAAGGGTCTGAGTGTGAATACAAATGGGTATTAGGCCCCTGTGGTTTCAATGACTTTTCTCCACCCCCTCCTGGTGCTAACTAGCAGGTCTTTAACCTGCCAGAGAGGAAGAGAGAGACCTTTTCCAGCTTCAGGATTCCTGAGGCCTCCTTTTTCTTTTTCTTTTCTAATTTTTTTCTTTTTAAATCTCCTTAGCTTTCAACAGCGGTGTTGCAAGGCTCCCTCTGTAGGACTCACAGTTTTAGGGTGCAGAAGAAGACATCTTCTGTCCAGGGGAAGTCAGCTATTTTGATCTCTTGTTTGAGGAGGAAGAGTTTTTTGGTTCCCCGTCTTGGTCGGGCGCACTTGCACTGGGGAAGTTGCCCCTTGCGTTAGTGGAATCCCCTAACGCTGCGGATTCCAGGTGGCAGAGCGCACCTTTGTTTCCCTCTTTCTGAAGTCTTCATTTTGAAAGGGTGATTGGGAGCTTAAGCGTTGGAGCCCTCGGGAGTTTGCGGTCTCCTCAAAGTGCGGTCTCCAGAAGAGGGTGTCAGTTTGACCAGTTCTTAGCACGCCACCTTGCTTTATCTCCCACTAGCGTGGGGCACATTGTTTTTTCTTTAGGGGGTCTTAGAAACTCATAACGTCTGGATGGCAGCATCAGGCCCCTGTGCTGCAAGCTTCTAGAATGTGCATTCTGTTGGGCTGTGGGTGATCTCTGGAATTTCAGTGCCTTCACTCCCCGTGCCACCCCTCCCGCTGGGTGCCACACCCCTGTCCTCAGTTCCTGAAAGGGCCACCCCGCTTTTCAGCCAGAGGGCCACTGTGACCTGCAGAGGAAGGGGCAGCATGTCACCCTGCACCATTGTGTTCTGGTTCATGCGTTCAAGGCCCTGCACTCTTCACTGTGGTGGCTCTGAGTCCAGTCACGCCATAGCAGGGGCATTTTAATTAGCAGTGCCTTAGTCATTAGTGAGTTATTGTTTTTGTCTGGAAACACTTAAGTACTGTTTACTCGATGTCTCAATGAAATGCAAAACAGCAATTAAGCAGAAATTTGTTGTATGAGGCAGGGACCAAAATGGATCCTCAAAAGCCGGTTGTGGTTCCTCCATACCAAGGAAAATCTCTTTCCCCTTTGGCCTCCTGATAATTGGAATGCTCCAGATCCTCAATTTCTTCTCCGACCTGCCCCCTAGAGTTATCAGATAGAAATACTTGGGAAGTTGGCAACTTCCTGTGTCTTTGCTTCATTGACATGGACAGTTAGGTTTGATGAAGTGTTAATTTTCCCCCGAATTTTTTTTCGTTGTTGGTGACCTGGAATATTTCAAAACCCTTTCAGTTGAACGTTAATGATTTGTGAAACTCTTGCGTATCCTTATGTGATGATTTATAAGACTTGAGTATGTTTTCTTCACGCCTTCTTGTGACCAATGACATTGTTAGTCTGATAGACCCTTTGTGTCCACCTGGGAGTGTTGGGATGATGGGATTATATCCCTTTTACTTAAAAAAATCTTTTTATTGATTAGTGAAAGGGAAGTTGAAGATGAAGAATTCTGAGTGAGGTGGAGTGGAGCCGCAGTGGAAAGCAAAAATAAATAAAAGGGAGCACTCGTGACCCTCGTGCAACTCAGAGAGGTCTCACTGAACCCAATGGAAGGAATTGCTGTATAAAGAACAAAACAAACAGCTCCCTCCAAGCAACTTCTGCTTTGCCAGCCTCTGTCCCCTTACCAGTTTTATGGGAAATGGAATCCTGCAGGAAAGCTGAGGGGAGGCACCGTAACTGAACATGTGCTCTTGGCCTCCTGTGCAGGAGACCCGTCGGTCTAAAACTCTTTGCACCAAGTTCATCACTGGGACCCCAGTTTCTCTTCGCTGTGGCTCTTACCTTGCACTTCCTGTTTCTTCCTTTTCTTCCCCCTCGTTCCCTTCAAACAATATCTTCTGGCTTCCAGATTTCTGATAAATTGATAAGAGGCATTGCATGAGTCAATAGAGCTGTAGACACTTTGCCAATATAACCCCGGCTGTATTGATCTGCCAGTAAATTAAAGTCTTACTTAGAGGCTGCCAATATTTCTAATCTCCTGCCTCACCAATTACATCCTCCCAGCTACCTGGAAGGAGGACTTGAGCCTTTGAACCTTTGTGTTGCTATTGGGAGGGGGCTGATTGCCTTCCACGGGGTAGGGGCTGCTTGCCTCGCCTATCTGGTAGGAGAAGGGGGAGTGTGCAGGAAAACGAGCCAGCTTATGTCCTTGTGTGCAGTCTGTTTTCATGCTACAAGGTTCATTAGGCAAAATTGCTGGAAAACAAATTCCATCATGGTGGTCACGTACATTTTATACCAAGTCTGCAGACTGCCCTTGCCCTTTGGATGGATTCCAAGATTGGAGGTGGAGAAAGTTGACAGTAGCTGGTATTGAGTATCTTGGGCATGTTTTATGACTTTCGCTTTCTTAAAAAAATGTGGACCGCCTTTCTGTTGCACTGGGAGAGAAATGGAGGTTTGATTAAAAGCTGGGTTACTAGTGTTTATGTCTCAAAAAAACTAAACCATGCCCAAGAGTTTTAGAAAAGAAGAAATGTGCGAAGAACTAGGATGCACTGGAAGTGGGTGTATGAGCATGATTTTTTTTTTTTTTTAGTTGTGTTGTTTTGTACTCTCACCAGAGCAGAAGAATGAGGGAGGGAGGGTTAATTTCTGTGTCCCTTCTGACTTTTGCCCATGGTCTTCCCTATGGCAGTCCTCTCTCTCTCTCACTTGTTCGAAGTGGAGTAATAACAGCTGCCCCAGGTCCACACAGAAACAGTGGGGCTTTCAGAGTTCCCTGCCGGGATTCCCACTTCCGGTGATGGTGGTGTGAGCAAGTTGTTCCTCCGATAAGCTCCTTTCAAGTCCTGTTTATGTGGCTGGCTTTGGGAAGAAATCTCCAGATAAACGCTGTATTCTCTGTAATACTCCAGAGCAAAAAAATCAATGGGAGGGATAATTCTTCTCTTGTCTAACACATACACACTTCTCAGGTGTTTCTACCTCTGGCATCACTCAAAAAATATTTTCTTTAATGAAGACTCCAGTCCCGGAGTCCTTTCACTTCTGCAGCATTCTGAGGAAGGAAGCATCAGGAGGCTCCTGTCCGCTGTAGAAGAAAGAGTAGCTTGGACGCTGTGTCCAAGAGGAAGATTCTGGTCTTTCTCTCACTCTCGTCTTCCTCTCCTTACCTCTCAAGTGGGAGAAGTGGAAAATGAGTTCAGATCAGGTTAGGTGGGAAGCTGGCCAGTGGGGTACATCACTGGCAGAGTGTGGGGCTGGGAGGAGGTGTGAGGCAGTGAAGGGCCTCCCCTTATCCTGGCTGAGGCGGAGAAGGAAGCCTGCCTGGGGTTGCCAAGGTCTCCCCGAGGCTGGCCAGAGGACAGTGTCTCCACGCGCTCCCTTGGCTCCTTTGGGCTGTGAGTGAAGAAGATGTCAGACAAGGAGAAACCCCAGGAGGTTGGGATTGACTTTCTCCTTTGTTTATACTGCATTGTATTGGAGGAGGTGTTTCAATCTTGTTCACACCTGTGGAGGCTGAAGCCAGCTTTGAGAGCCGGGTTTGTAACAAGACTTCTGTTGTTACTGCCTCGGAAAAGGTTTCTAGCTCACACCAGAGAAACTTTATTGTAGCAACTTGTTAATGTTCAATTAGGCAAATTCTTGGTGCCTGGGGGCAGTGGAAGGGCTTGCTAGCTTTTCCTGGGTGGCCTACTGCCCCTGTTCCCGGGGATGAGCCTTGGCCCCTGGGTCCTGGGTCCTGGGTCCTGGGGGGCAGCAGCTGGGGTATTACCTGAGCTTGAGAGGTGGGTTGAGGTTGGTAAGGATGGAGGGAGCGGCTGCTCTGCAACCTGAGTTGTAACAATCACTGTCTGTTGGCCATTGTTGCTGCTCCCCACCCCTGGGAGTGGCAGATGCTGTGCCCAAGGCCTAGTGTGCGGATGGCTTGGTTGGGAAACCTGTGTGTGGGAGCCTCAGCACCGCATCCAGGCAGTGGGACCCTGTTATCTCCGGGAATCTGAGCCTCACTGGCCACACCTGGGTATGTTCTCTGGCGTTCTTCCTGGCGTGATTTTTCTTGAGTGACTGTCCAGCCCTCTGATGGGCAGTGTTTTCCACCTCCTCCTGGACTGAGGTCTTGAGCTCATGTAAAAGCAAAAACAGGAAGCCCATTATAGGAGTTCTGACTTAGGGGTGCTTACACATTCCCACATGGGCATAGTTGTCTGATAGCTGTTCTTTTATGGTGGGGGTGGTGGAAAAAAGAGGGAACCCTTAGAACTGGAGCTCTGATTAAAAAAGAGAGATACTGGAGAGTTGCAGAGAGACTGTGTCCCACCCAGCCTGTTCTCCGTAGGCCAGCTGTCACCCTGGCTGCCCGGAAGGAGCGGGAGGTGGGTATTCACTCCCGTCTCTAGGAGGCCTGGAGCTGGCAAGGCCTGGCTGTAAAATATTGCCCCCGTGGCAGCCTCTCTCCACAGTGTTGAGCGATGAGGAGGGTGAGGCACCCGGCAGTGTATTAAACACTAGTTGAGCACAGGAGGGGCAGTATATCACAGGAGAGAGATAAGCAAAGTTCTCTGATAGTGGATCAATAAAGGTTAGTGACATCATATCTCAAAGTGAGGGAACCTGCTTTCTGCACAGCCATTTATCAGATCCCAGCCTGGAAGGGCATTAACCCCTTTCTGGCTAGATTTCTTCTTACTGAGCATGGACCCAAATTCTTTTTCAGTGGGAGGAGGGTAAGGAAGAAGGGAGGGTGTTGCTCTACTCACCCCTACAACGTATTTAAGGAATCTGCCCATGCTGGATTTGGAAATACTTTCTGCAGTTAGTGTATTAAACCAGCAGTGGCTGGGTTGTACACCGTGTGTTTATGGAAAGTTTCTTTACTTTGAAATTTGTGCAGAAATTCCCATTAAAAGGGCAGTCTTTCTTTTGAAGTTTTAACACTATGCCTGTGTGTTACAGGCATGCAGCTGTATTGACTGTTGAATACCTTGGGCCTCAGTTTTATGTTTGGTGTTTGAGAATCAAGCAATTTTGATTGGACTGGAAAGTTAAAATTGGGCAAGCCTGAGAATGATCATGATTGATCTTTTTTTTTTTTTGCTTTGTGGTGTTCTGGATATTTGAAAGTTTTCCAGTGGTCTGGAATTGGCAAACTCTAGCCTGTAGCCCAGATTTGGCCCAACCCTTGTTTTTGTGTAGCCTAGGAATTAAGAGTGGTTTTTACATTTTTAAATGGTGGGGGAAGAGAAAAAAATTTTTTTGTAGTGCATGAACACATGCAAAATCCGTATTTGCATTCATAAATATTTACTGGCAAACAGTCTTATGTGGCCATTTGTGTTTTGTCTCTGGCGATTTCACACAGCAGCATGCAAAGTTGAGCAGTTGCAGTGAGAAGACACAGCCAGCAAAGCCTCCAATAGGAACCTCTCTCTTTACAGAAAACAGCGGACCCCATAATCTGCTGTGATTGCAAAGCTACTCCTAACTGGCTGTGTGACCTTGGGTAAGTCACATAACTTCTCCTTCACGTCAGTTTTATTGGTCTCTGTGATACAGTCTTGTCCCCTGCCCATTCCAGGGTGTTCTGAAAGTCAAGTAAAAATGCATGAGGGATGGCTTTGAAAAACAGCTTGCACTTGCAAAGTGCCCGGTGTTAGATCAGTAGACTGGGCTGTAAACTCATCTTGAGGCTACTAGGCATGGGAATGTTCCTTCTTGGGAATGTAACCCCTGGTGTAAAAGTGCGAGCCCTGCGGAAGGTGCGTAACTATTTTGAGTAGAGCGAAGTTTGAGTTTCTTTGTAAAAACTTGAAGGCATGCATCTTCCTGGAGTGAACATCTTTCGCTTTGCAAAGGAACATCAATTTTCCTCTGTGACTGCCGAGATTTTTATCCTTAAAGAGTTGAATCACTTCTTTCCTTCCCATCGGTGATTTATAGATGGGGAGAGGAGGCCTTTTCCTGTAGGTCTCTGACTGTTTATCTTTTTGGTTGGGCTCTGACAATCTGCTGGCTGGGATGTTCCCTTTGGCCAGGGCGTTTGGGGGCCAGATGCCAGTTGCATGGCTGGGGGTGGTGGGGGGAGGGGGGAGGCTAGAGATTCCAGCCCAAAGCTAATGGGCTGATGTCCAAGTAGAAAGTGTATTTTCATTGAGGAAGTGTAGGTATTAGAGAAGCCTGGATTACTGTGTGATTGTGCTGTCAATACTGCCGTATTGAGTCCGTGAGAGCCTGCACAATACGGGGAAACACTTAACTCACTACTGCTGCTTATTGAGAAGCCAATAGCAATTTACTTGCTGACACTTGACATCAAATCCATTCCCAGAGGTAGAACTCCTGCAAACCACCATGGTGCTCCCTCCCCTGCCTCGGCCCCTCTCCTACTTTGGGGATCCCCCCCACCCCCGTGTGCATTCTGGAATGGTGGCTGCCCCCAGTCAGGGAGGATGCAGGGTTGGGGTGGCCCCAGAGAAGATGTTTCCATTTAACTTTCATGGCTGACAAGACATTGTCTTCTCCTAATCACTCTCCATCTTGTCTTCTTTCAACATGTGCTAAATGACCCTCTCTTGGCTCCTCCGTGGGGTATGTGTTTTGTGCATGTGGGAACTTTCTCCTGGTCTCTTCATAAAAAGTTAGTTCCTTAGAGTGGATACATGAGGAAATCATATGTGGGAGACACTGAGGAGTGTGTTGTCTCCAGGAGATGGGTGCATGTCTGGGGGAACAGTCAAGGCCAGGAGGAGGTCGCGTTGGGGAATAGAGAGCCTCCTGTGGCACCTCATTCAAGATGCAGTCTCCCTGTGCCCAGCTCTGGGAGACATTGAACTCCGGAACCCTCTGTTCCTCCTGTAGCTACTCCTGTGGAGTTGGTCTGCAGAGCGTCTGGCGGCTCGACGTGTAGTGTTTTACATAGCTAAGTGCTTTAGATGCCTTTAGACCTCGATTCTTCTCCAATAATTAGCTCACAAATCACAACCTGTGTCTGAGAGGTGGAACCTTATTAATACATAGTGATCTAGGAGTGACCAGCCCAAGGTTACCGTTGGCTCTTCTAGCCCAAGCGAATGCTGGTGCAATTTAGTTTTTTTCTCTTCATCTGTGTCTTGGGACCCCAATCCTCCAGTTCTTTTAATGTGCCCTCCATGGGCTGGTTTATAGCCACCACTTGGAGATCAGGTGAAGGATGAATTAGACTTCAGCTGTCAAAGTGGGATGGCGTCAAACCTAGCCCTAGGGGGAGTGAAGAAGCCTTTGCTCGTGGTGTATAGCAAGGCTTTGTGGAGACTGCCGTCAATTTAATAGAGTCTGCTTCCAATCTGGAAGTTTCTCCTCAACTGGGAGATTGGTCCAGCCTCTTCTTCATCCCTTCCCTTCCCCCATCTTTGCCTGCTCACCTGTCTCTTATTTCCTCTGTCAAAAGACCCTGCTTTTTTCTTGCCTACTAAGAAAAGCAAAACTGTGTAGAAGTGAGATTAGGCAGTCCTGTGGGTTTTACTTTTTCACCAGTGATCTTGAGTGGGGGCCAGAATGTGGAGTAAACCTGTTTATTTAGTACTGTCCTGGTGATGTGCTCTGGAACTACATGATATTTAATTATAATGTATACGTGCTTTGGTCACAGGATGTCTTTCTCTGGGAAGACACAAGCACTTAAAGGAAGGTCTCTGCCCAGTTTACAGAAGCTGGTTCATCCCTCCTACCTGCTCCCCGCAAGTCTTGTCCAGACACAGAAGCCTGAGTCCTTTGCTTCTTATCAAGATTTAATGTAGATGGGCCCATGTTACCTTTGATTGACTTTGTGGTGTGTGTTGTCATAGCTTCTTTCTCTTGGTTACTCATGGCTCAGGGATTGGTTGGGGTAGTGGCAAGATGACACAGTATCTGGTGGGGTGATGGACCAGAGTTCTGATTCCATCAGGCTTTAGAATGCACACTGTTACCCTTTTCTGGATTTTCTTTTTAAATAAAGTGAAAGAGCCAGCTTGAAGGGTGGCTTAAGGTACCTCCCAGCTCCTAGGTCTGTGATCTGCACAGCTGCTGTCCTCCTGCCCTGTATCAGAGGAAATCCAGGAGACTATTGGCCCTGCTGTTGGGGACAGCAAGAGGTACTCATATTCAGAGCAGTGATGCTACCTGATTCCTTGGGGCGGTTAGTTATATCTGGGCTGTTCCATCCTGGTGGTCTGGGTGGATTGGGTAGAGAGTGACCCTGGTGCTGAGGCTGTTTACTGACTAACATAAAGATGTGGAGACCTTGGCTTTGTCCAGGATGGGCTTCAGGCTTAGAATCATGTAGGTGCAAGCTCATGTACCTACTAGAATTGAGTATTGTATTTATTTTGGTTTTAAAGAGACTCTCCAAAGCCAATAGCTGTTACTTTGGCACTGTGGCTTATAGGGCAAAATTTGGGGAATTCCCTGACACACTTACTTCATCTTTAGAGTTTCTGGAGTTCGGCCTTGGTTTTATATCCTCACCCTCACAGGCCTACTCCAGACCCCTTGTGCCTGAATTATTATAGCACAGTCCTCGTGGGTGTCCCCTCCCATGTCTCTTTTACCTCCAGGCAGCTTTTGTGTCAGAGACGGGGAAGTCCGTGGTCTATAGGCAGAACCTAACCTGTGGATATGTTTTGATCAGCTTATTCTGTATATTAAAGATCAGTTTATTCTACACCAAAATCTGGATGGAGCCGTTTTCTTTACAAAAAAAAAAAATCAGGGAATTTTGCCATTTTGAGTTTGCATGGCAAAGGCTGGCTGGAACAGAGGGTGAGGATACACAACCAAAGCTGAACTCTAGAAACTGGAACAGAACAGTGTGACGGCCCCTCTCGGCAGGGACATGTACTTTTGAGGCCACCGGGGCCCACTCCTTTCTTGTTACCATTTCACTTCTTACCTTGCCACTTCCTCTTACCTGGCCAGCTTGGTTCGGGCATGCTACCTGCCTGGCTCTGTCAGCACGTGCCACTGTGCCGGCTGTATATGCGCTGGCATTGAACTGAAGCCATCAGCGGCTCTCAGTGGGGGTGATTTTGCCTCCTATTACCTAAGGAAAAGTGGCAGCCTGGAGACACTGGTGGTGGTTACAAGGAGGAGAGGAGGTGGTACCTGGTAGAGGCCAGGCCCCCTGTGTCACCCCCCGCCCACTTGAAGCTTTAGCTAGTCTAGTGCCAGGGCATAACTCAGAGGTGGAGTGTGTGCTTGGTCTGTGCAAGACCTGGGGTTTTATCCACAGCAAAACATGCACGCATGCACCCACACATCTTTCTAAGAAAAAGGCTCTGGGTTTGATCCCTGGCACCTCTTAAAAAAATAATCCAGCTGAATCAGTCAGTTGCGCTGCCAGTTTCCTTGTTAGGGCTCCCTCACCCCTTGATCCCTTGTTGCTGGACCTGCAGTCTTGCCCCTGACAGCTCGCAGATACTCCGAGTGTCAGTGCTTCTGCCAGGCCTCCCTTTCTGCTGCTCCGTCCTGCTCTTGACCTTCAGTTTGAGAGCTTCTCATTTGCCAAGCACTAGACTCAATGCTAGAGGTACTGCGGTGGGGGCAAAAGGAGAAAACTCCTCCATTTCATGAAGTCCACACTGTCTCACCTCCCTCGATATACATAGTGAAATTGGGTCTTCTGAGTGATATTCAGGGCAGTGGAGAAGGAGCACCAGGGCTTGCAGGTTAAGTAGGAGGGAGCGTTGAGGAAGGACCTTCGGGAAGGCTGCATCTGAGAAAGACTTGAGGGAGGAAGTGAGGTAGAAAGAGAGTTCTGGACAGAGGGAATGCTCCTGTGAAAGCCCTGAGAGGGAGCCTATGTGGTGCGGCTGAGGAGCAGCAGGGGGCCCTGTGGCTTGAGCGGGTGTGTGCAGAGGAAGGGGCACAGCGGGTAGGACCTCAGAGGCCGCTCTGTGGATTTCCTCTCAGATCTGAGTGTGCTGCATGCTTTGGGAACGGGATTTTGTCTGCAGGAGTGACTGACTCAGGTTCAGGCAGGCCCCTCCAGCTGCTGCACTGGGACAAGGGGAAGAATTAAAGAGACCTCAGGGAGATGACTGTACCCAAGCAGGTGAGAAGTGGCGCAGGCCAGGCGGGTCAAGGTGCAAGGCTAAGAAGTGGCATATTTGTTTCCTGGGGCTGCTGTAACACGCCATCACAAATGGAGCGGCTTTAAACAACAGAGACCTGTTCTCAGAGCGGTCGTGGAGGCCAGGAGTCCAAGATCAGTGTGTCAGCAGGGCATGCGTCCTCCATGGGTTCCAGGTGAGGATCATTCTTTGCCCCGTCTGCTGACAGTGGCTGCTGCTAGTCCTCGGCTTAGAGTTGTGTCACTTGGTGTCCGCCTCCGTTTTTATGGAGCCTTCATCCTTGCTTGTGTCTCTGTGCCCTCTCCTTTTCTGAGGCACCAGTTGTTGATGATTAGGGCCCACCCTAAAGCCCTATCTCATCATAATTTAATTATACCCCCGAGGGACTCTGTTTCCAAATAAGGTCATGTTCTGA